CTTCGCCGACGAGCGCCTCGGCCCACGACTCCATCTCGAGCATCTTGATCACGTTTTCCACGTAGGCGAGCTTCTCCTCGCGCGGCGTCTCGCGCGGCTGTCGCAGCAGCGCCGAGAACTGCAGCGCCTCGCGCACCGTCTGCGTCGCCAGATGCACGTCCTGCTGCTGGCAGTATCCGGTGGACGACTGGAACGACTTGGGCAGCGGTGCGCCGTTGACGCTGAAGACGCCCTTGACCACGCCCGTGTCGGTGCGCTGTGCCAGCACGTTGAGCAGCGTCGTCTTGCCCGCACCCGACTCGCCCATGAGCGCCGTCATCTTGCCCGGCGCGACGAAGCCCGAGACATTGTTGAGCAGACGACGCGGATTGCCCTTGATCATGACGTCGTAGTTGACGTTCTTCCATGCGAACACCGAGGTGGACGACTCGAGCTTGGCCACTGCGTCGTTCGAGTCTTGGTGGTCTGCGTTTGCGTCGTCGGCGACGGGGTCGGGCGAGACGCCAGCCACGTCTCCCGCCTCGACATCGCCCGACGCCTTGGCAGCCTGCACGACCTGCTTGGGTGCTGAGCCGCGCTTGAACACCATCACGCCGCCCGAGGCGGTCGGGTCGCTCTGGAACTCGGACGCGACAAAGTAGATCATCAAGAAGAAGATCCAGAAGGCAATCACAATGCCGGCGTTGCGGCCCGAGTTCGAGTAGTAGTACTGGAACGACGCAGCCAGGTACTCGGAGCCGTTGATCGTCTCCTGTCCCGGGCGCGCCGAAGCGACGGGGCATACCTTGTTGGCGGAGGGAACGTTGGCGTATGCTGGACCGTAGGGGACGTAGTTGCCACATGGCACGTTGAGGCGGCGGAACTCGTTGGTGAGCAGGATCTCGAACGCAAACGCCACGGGGTTGCAGTAGCTGAGCCACTTCCACCACACGACCATCGACGGACGCGGGATGACGTAGCCGGCGTAGAGCGCGAGGTCGATGACGGCCAGACCACCAATCATGGTAGCGAGCGACTCGGACTTGGTGGCAGCAGCGAGGCAGCGGAAGAAGGCGACCATGGTGAAGCTGATGAGCGCGGTGACGCCAAAGAAGACGAAGAACTGGTCGGCGGTGTAGGCGAGGCCGGTCATGAAGTAGATGAGGATGTCGAAGAAGATGAGCGTAAACGTGCGGATGGGGATGTCGAGCAGCGTGTTGGCGATGGCGTCCGAGAAAGGATGCACCATGGCGAACCTTCGCTGGCGAATCACGATGGGGCGCTGCGCATAGCCGGCGGTGATCTCGGAGAGCGCGGTGAACGAGTTGTAGAGGAGCGCAAAGAAGAGCACGCCGCCGCGCGAGAAGAAGCCCGAGGTGTTCTTGGGCATCTGGTAGAAGACCGAGCCGGTGATGAGTGCCTGGAAGATGCTGGCGAGCGTGATGACGAGCTGGGTGGCGAGGTCGCCCCAGATGATCTGTGCTCGCCTCTTGATGGCCAGTCGGATCTGCATGGGGAGCGAGATGATGTAGGCGCTGCCCTTGCGCGAGTGCTTTGCCTTTTCCTCGCGCGCCACCTGCTTGTAGTGCTTGATGGCCTCGTCGTCGACACTCTCGCGGAGCTCTTTGAGGTACGCCTCGACCTCTTCGTGGTTCTTCTTGCCCTGGGGCGAGTTCTGCCAGTAGCGCGCCATCTCGTCGGCCGTGCGAGGTGCACGATCCTCGAAGTCTTCGCGCGTCTTGCGGCCGAGCACGTCGGTACAGGCGACCAGATAGTCGGCGGTGGTCTGACGGTCGTGAGGCACGTAACCCATCTCGGTAAAGTAGTCGGCGGCGTCGGCGGTGGGGCCAAAGTAGACCTGCTTGCCCTCGTTGATGACGAGCACCTTGTCGAAGAGCTGGGTGAGGCCCTCGCCCGCCTGGTAGATGGAGGCGATGGTGGTGGTGTTGGAGATGTCGGTGGAGATACGAAGCGACTTGACGAACTCGAGCGCGGTGCTCGAGTCGAGACCACGCGAGGAATTGTCGAAGAGCGCGATCTTTGCGCGCGCCGCAAAGGTCTCTGCAACGCTGACCCTCTTGCGCTCGCCGCCCGAGACGCCGCGGATGAAATCGTTTCCGACCTTGGTGTTGTAGGTGTGCCTGAGGCCGAGGATGGTGGCGAGCACCTCGACGACGGTCTTGACGTAGCCCTGGCGCGTGTTGGTGTCTTGGCTTTCGAGAAGGTCGAGTCGGCGACGTGCCTGGGGCGCGCGGGTGGCGACGGCGAAGGCGAGCGTCTGCCAGACGGTGAGCGTGGGGAAGTGCACGTCGTCTTCGGGACAGTAAACTACATCACCACGGAGGCGTTTGTCGATTACGGTGTGATCCATGCCCTGGTAGAGAAGGGTGCCGTCGATGGACCTGAAACCGTCTCTGTAGGAAGCGATGCTCTTGAGGAAGGAGGTGCATCCTGCACCGGGGCGACCGAGGACAAGGAGCATCTCTCCGGGCTTGACGCAGCCCTCAAAGTTGTCGATGATGGTCTTGACGGGCGGGTGGAGGATGGACTTGAAGTTCTTGATAGCTTCGAAGGGCTTGAGCGGGAGGGAGCCAATGGTATCACCAATAGCGTAGCCGGTGCCGAGGCCGGTGACGGTGAGGTTCTGCCAGACCAGGCCCATCTGGCGGCTCTCGAGGTTGGCACCCTGTGCCTGGTCCATGACATGGCGGAGAAAGCGCTCGAGCTCAAAGTTGCCGTTCTTGTCAAAGGGGTCGAAGCCGAGTGCGGCCTCTCCGCCGTCGGTGGTGCGGGTGCGTGCGCGGAGCGAGTGCTCGGTGAGGCGACGGGTGAGTTCGGCGGTGCCTTCCGGGTCGAGCGAAGCAAAGGGGACGCTGCCACGACCGCTCTTGGTGCGCTGGATGGGAGGCATGGCAGGCGAGGGCTGATTGGAGCTGCTGTCGTGGGAGGAGTTGTCCGCGTCACCAGCGACCGAGGTGGCTGCATTGGTGGTAGCAGCGTTGGTGGTGGTGGCGGCACCGGTGCCGGTTCCGTGGCTGTCACGCTCGCTCACCGCTGCTGCTGCGATGGCGGGCGCCGGCTGCGAAGCGTGGCCGTCTGCCTCCATGGTTGCGCAAGATGGAGTGGATGGCCCCACTGAAGCGTCTTGGAGGATGTAGAGAGATTGATCGGTCGGAAGGATGGAGAGGGAAGGAAAGGAAGGGATGATGAGCGCTCTGTCCTCATTCTCATTGCGAGATGTGCGCCAGCAGCACGAGCAGGGAGATGGAGGCCCCCGAGGCCCGAGTTTGGAGGCTCGAACCTGTGTGCAGTTTGGCACATGCCTGTAGCGCAGCGGGACGAGGTTTCAGATGGGTGTGGAGCAGGCTCGGAGCTGGAGCTCGCTGTGCCTGGGCCCGTGTCGTTGTGTTGACGCGCGCTGCTGTCCTCCCTGCCCAGCGCCGGAAATAAAAGAAAACATCCAAAAAAAAAAA